CATCACTCAGACTTCCAACTTGCTGACATTGATTTGACATAAACATGTGGCGCAGGTTGTGTGCTGACCACGCAAAAGATTTTATATGTGCATGCTGTCCTGAATATTATCTTTCAGTGACAGTGAATAATATACACCCATGATTCTTCCCCTGGCGTTATCAATCCCCTGTTTAGGTGAACACATTAAGTGAGCACATGGTGGGCACACAAAAGGTAACAGCAGGGCTGCATATGTGGGCATTTTTTCCCACAGTCCAAACTCATGTTTTGGTTGATGGTCCAAAAATTATAATTTCATTACATTTTAGTATACAAGTCTTATTTTATAAACATGAAAACATACACTGAAAAACATGTGCCACAAGCATACAAGAAATAGAAATAGTTTAGCAGTTCCCTAACTGAGATACTGAATACTTACAAAGAACTATTTCAAGCAGAATGTGTAGACAAATTAGGAAAAGGTAGAATAGATTTTAGCTAACTCCCTAACCTATGTATACAAGATTGAAAATAATTGTACAGGCTTACCTGGAAACTTCCAGCTATCGCCAAACTAGAATCAAACCATTAGAATTACCTCTAAGGTCGACCTGTTTGTTTGCTCGTGGCAGCGATTATGACAGAAATTCCAGGGCTATTCTTATTAATACCTCTATCTGTCTGCAAGGTTTAACTCCACCCTCTACTAGGTTATACCCAACCCTAACGGAGATGACTTAAGCCCCGCCTCGGAGGTACCTATTAGATCAACCTAGCTATCAAGGGGCCTGTCACTCACAGTGAACGGCCTACAGTACGCCCTTGACCAAGATTAAACATTCCTAATTGCCAAACATCTGTTCTCTTGAGAATTTCACTATCATGTGTGAAAACTTCAGACGCTGGACGCCATCCTGTCTAGAAATGTCTATCAGACCACTAATTCCCCTGCTTCAGTTTGATCAAAGGCCCCACTCAGTGTGTGTTATGTAATTTTTATGCCCCTACGGTCGGATTCAGGGGAGCTAATCTTCAGGTGTGATAGGAAGTTACCTCCCCCTTTACTTGCCTCTACAGACTGGGCAGGAGATAATAATATGACATGGGCAGGTGAAATCTCTAACTACAGTAGTATTAGGTAACATTACACCAAGCAAGGTTGCTTTGTCTGGCTAAGACAGGAAACACAGTTTAAACAATTCTCAAATCCCTTATAGTGGATTTAGAAATATTTTAGGCTCAGTGTCTATTGCTTATAATTCTTTGTCCTTCTCTGAACATAAGAAATTATCAAACACAAGATAACTTCTGAGACCACTGAGGTCATTTCGTCACAGGGAGACATAGTGAGGCAGAGGGAGACATAGTGAGGGAGACATAGTGAGGCAGAGGGAGACATAGTGAGGCAGAGGGAGACATAGTGAGGGAGACATAGTGAGGCAGAGGGAGACATAATAAGCCAGAGGAAGACATAGTAAGGCAGAGGGAGACATAGTAAGGCAAAGGGAGACATAGTGAGGCAGAGGAAGGCATAGTAAGGCAGAGGGAGACATAGTAAGGCAGAGGAAGACAGAGAGAAAAGATGCTGTACAGTTTGACCTCATGGAATGGAAGATTATCTGTGTCAGAACTAATTGAATGTGAATGCTGAATTAAGAATCAACATCACACCACTCAGGATACTCCCATAAGTGCTCACTCCCCATCTTCAGCAGCAAACGAAGAGTTCCAATTCTATTGATACCAGAAACCGTATAATTGTATATCCATCTCATCCTTCCCCTGAGTGTTGCATGCCGGCCAGATCCTCTGATAACTCATTGCAGCACCATTCTCCTTAGACTTTAATGATCTGTCAGCTCCTCCTCACTATTCACTCGCTCCCAAAGGGCCCTCACAATATCTAATTTGTCATACATCAGTGCAGAGCCAGCTAGTCTATCTACCTGCTCATTTCCCAACACACCGCCATGGCTTGGAGAAAATATCCAAAGGATGCTAACTACCTGGGACTTTGGAAGTGATGCTTGCCACTCTTCACGAAGCATGCCTGTTTTCACCTTTCTCAACATGCTCTGCGAATCAGTTAGAACTGATTGGAAGTACACCAGTCAGAAGGTTGTTGATAGATAGGACTACTAGTGCCATACAATCGTGAACTGTATGAAAAGTGAAGTGTGTGCATTTATAAAGAGTTAGTCAACTGAAATGTGAACATTCAGTTGATACTTATAGACTGTTAAAAGTACATCCCCCACCCCGCTCATTCACTCATTCATTATCCATAACCTACTCATCTGTTCATCCATCAGTACATTTATCCACCTCTTTATTCATTCATCATTGATTTATTTATTAATCCTTAATCTATTCATCAGTGAATCCATCCGTTAATTTATACTAACTAATGGAAGCATAGTGTGCCTGATAATTCTTTCTCTTGTCACTATGAGACGTTTCTGTGTATGGGTTGATTACGGTTTAACTGTCATTAACTCTTTAAGGCCCAAACAACGGTGTGAGCGTAGTTTGAGAAGTTCCGTTCTGCCCAAACAACAGTGTCATCATTAATCGTGTATCTCTTACATTTTGCTTCGCATGCGCGTTCGTACTAGTTTCTAATGTTTGGAGGTACGTATAACCTATTCAGGGAAAGTCACTCTACCGAAATCCTTTTAGTTTCACTTCTTCGACTAAAACACACGTGGATAATTTGAGAGAAAAAAAAAACATCAATTTTTTTTTTACAGTTTATTTTCTAAGTTTGTTTTTGAGTGCACTGAATACCAATGTTCTAACCACAAGAACATGTCGCAGAATGCGTCTTTCTGCGGCCGAAGCTCTGAAATTGTTTCAGTCAGATGTTTTTAATTGTGAAAATGATAATAAAAATTTAGATTTTTCGGAAAGTGATTCAGACTGTGAATTTTCACAAGTGAAGCTTAGCGATCAGCTGTTCGGAATCTATCGATTCTGACGCGTTTATTACACAGACAATGTCCCATACTACCGTATTTATGGTGTAAGAGAAGGAAAGTGCTCTAAACAAAGAGATAGTACTATACTATGGCTAAGCTACATTGAAATCATCGCAGCTACAGTCTGTAAATAACTGTACAAAGTGAATAGTAAAAAGTGTGTGTGTTATGGCTCATTTTTCTGCCATTTTTTCTCTGAAATTTTGCTTAGCACTCGGTTGGAACTAAGAGCCCCTGAGTGATAAACTAACCCAGAAAGTTATAACTTTAGAATATGTTAGGACATTGAACAAACTTTGAAGTTTTGTTCTCAAATTTGGATATTTACTATTCTTGTGGCTGCAAAACCATGGTAAGTGAAGAATTTTTGTGTGAAATGTTGTCCTTGTGAAATTAACACCTGCTGAATTCTTCTTTTCCACTAACTATAACAAAATTAAACAAACACGTATCATCAGATTCAGAATGTACACTCATTTCTTGTTTAAAAAATATATACTGTTATAGGGATTAGAAGTATATTACAGTCTCTACAGCCTTTCTTGTACACCCACCCCTCTGCCATTTTTGAAAAGGGAAATTAATGTGGGCCAAGTCTGTCAAAATTCATGGGCCTGAAAGAGTTAACTCTTAAAGCCTAAACTACTGGTTAATTTTGATACTTTCTAATTGAAATATGTATTTTTTAAAGAATCAGTACTTGAGTCTTTTTAAAATCCAGTATGAATAATGGATAGTATTTGTTAAAAGTAACAGACTAGAATAGAATAGATTAACATAACAGAAGAATCAAAGAGACATTTAAAAAAAAATATATACCATGAATAGAATAAGTAATTAGCAGCTAATTAGTTTTCTGGTATTGAAAGAGACAGTTAATAATAATTGTACATAAGTAAAGGATCCTCTCCCCCATCTTCAGATGTACTGGGCATATAGGGTTAGACCTGTATTTTACTGACCAATAGGCCCTCTGTGGGTGATGTGGTCAACACTACGTCAGCTGCCCTTAATTCCCAGGACTTTACCTGGTACCTGTTTAAGACTCAATTGATGTGAAACGTTCAGCCATTTTTGAAAAGTCCAGAAATGTTGAATATGCTTGTCATTATTAAAAACTGTGATGACCCACACATTCACAGCAAACAATTTAAATATAAGTGGACTGTTCCCATGATGAGTGTTCTTGCTTTTGCATAAAGAATTCACAAGTCTCTGGAGAATCATTTTTATCTCTTTTGTGTTCTCTTTCTCCTAATGACCTTTCACATTACCTCCCTTTGAGCTTTCACCCCACCTGACCTATCACATGTATCTGGGTCCCTTGCTGCCCTGAGACTCTGTGATGAAACATGAGGTGTGGCCTTTGATGTTCAAGCATGGATGAAAAATGTGACAGGCTTCATGCAAAAGCTGTTATTTTATGTATTCTTTTATATATTCTTTTATTTAAATGCATAAGTGTCTGTTTTGGTTTTATACTGATGAAGTTTTGAAGCTACAGCATTTAGTTATCATTTGTGATTGTATTTAACCAGGAAGCTGACATATTCTCATGTAGACTGATTTTTTCTTGATAAAAAAATAAAATAGAAGTTCCCCGGCAACCTATCATCACAATAAATATGTGAAATAAGAAGTTCATGTGTTATTCTCCACATTCATGACAGCCTTAAAAGCCACATTATATTTTAGTGACAATACATTTATGTTTCACAACGAACACTACAGTGCTTTCTTTGAGAAGTTTAGCCACACACGTTTTATCCTTTCTTTGAGTCTGTAGAAGATTCCAAATGTTATGACATTTTAGTACTTTCTTTGAGAACTTTAGCCACACTTACATTTTAGTGTTTTTTTTAGCCATTGCACAGCATTTGTAGCATTTCAGTACCTTCTTTGACCAACTGGTCTACTCTCTCTCTCTCTCAGTCCAAGATGTCCCACAGTGAGAGCACTGATCTAATATATTCTTTGAATTGTCTTTTGAAACTTACTCACAGGATGAATAAAGTAAATAAGCACATTTGTGTTTCAGCCCGGTGAAAGACACTGTGGTTGTGAATGACAGATGGGGAAACAACACACGCTGTGCCCATGGAGGATTCTGGGATTGCAGTGATCATTATACTCCAGGTACTTCCCATCTTACTGATGTGTTCGAACTTTACTGTTTAGATGTTGATTAGCATTTTTTTTTTGCCCCAATAAAGGGAGAAAAACCTTTGATCCTGAGAATTTCCGAAAAAATCATTAGGATGAAAAACAAACATTTATGCAGCTCACCAAAAAATTTGTTTTAACAAATTTAAATTTTTCACATTTTATTTCACATAAATGAAGGGAAGTAGTTAGTATAAAGGAACTGTATTAAATTGAATTCACTTCTTTGGATCTACAAGAAAAACCACTTTATATGGTATCTCAAATTATTAACTCTTTGAGTCCCAGAGGGTCTAGCATCATAGACCCAGTGGGCTTCTAGGTAGGAACCTATGAACGTATGGTGCGTTCCTTGGGACTCAGAGAGTTAAGTCAATGTAAATTATGACATCATGATGACCCTAAAATAGCCATGTTTTTACAGTTAAAAAAAAAACCCCCTAAATGCTATTTTTAGTAAATATAATAATATCCAGGGGACTCTCTGAACTCTGCACAGGCACAAACAGAACCACTACCAATAATTAGACTTCTCTGGATCAAGTTACTGCAGCAGTGCTAGATAAGCGGCATTAATGCAGGTTTGTCACACGGGGAAGTGCAGGATGAGCGGCTTTTATGCACGTTTTCCGCAGGCGGATGTGCTGGGTTTGCAGCTTATAAGGGCAAAAGAGTTAATATACATGTGTGTGTATGCAAACACGTATGTGTGCATTCCCACGTGGAAGTGCAGACGTGTATGTTATGTATATAATATGTAATTGTTCATTTATGTCTATATATATGTGTTGGTGTGTATAGTACATACCAGCCCCCTGCCCAACAACCCTCACTAGGTACTAGAGTTCCGGTCCAAGCCACTAGTTTTGGTGCAAATTAACATTTCTTATCCAATATAATTGGCACAAAGTAACCAGACCACAGTTGTAACCGGTACTGCTCGCAGTGGGTTGAATTTGGCCGATTTTTTGTTTTTTTTTTTATCCTTTTCTTCTTCTTATTCTTCATGTTTGCCAGCTGTAAACTCTTACGCAAAGTTCCAGTTGTTGATCCACTTTTGGACTGCAGTCCTGTTTAAGAACTTGAGTGTTTTTTTTAATAAATGGATGGATGGATCCGGATGCACTTGAAACTTGCACACCTTTAAATTATCAACTTTTGTCATAGTGGAGAATCATAAGTAGACCACCTTTACACTGGTCCTTTAATCTGTCATGATGATGATGGTGGTGATGTTGATTGCAGTGATGTTCTACAGAATGTAAGGGAGTTGAGTTGAGGTGTGTCAAGAATTGACATCACAGCACTCTGGGCATTCCCATGCGTGTTCCGTCTTAATCCTTGGCAGCCAGCACAGAGTTCCAATACTGATGGTACCGGTCACAATTTAGTTATATGTCCATCTTGCCTTTCCTCTGAGTGTAGTGAGCCGGCCAGACCCTCTCCAGGCCATAATAATCTTGTTTCTCTCCTGATTCCGTTGCTTGTTCCCAAAGGGCCTTGGCCACATCTGCCATGTCATGTATCAATTCACCACCAAGTGGTGCAGATCCAGCCAATCTTTCTGCCTATTCATTACCCACTATGCCAGCAGTCTGGACAACGGATAAAATGTAAGGTAGCACACTGTTGAAATTAAGTTATGTATCCTTTACACAACTTTACAAACCAGTCCTATTTTAGTTGTGTGGTTTGTTTCTAGGTAACCTAATGTTAACTAGTTTGCGATTATTTCTGAATGATAAGGTCCACAAATCATTGTTAGTATCAGCACAAAGCGGTCTATTGTCAGATTGCCTGCAGTTGCACCATAGTTATACCACAGCAGTACCTCAGTTAACACCAGTTTATTTTAATCATTTGTTTCTAGGTACACTTGTTCCACACAAATGGGAGAACTGTATGACTATTGACAAATATTCATGGGGATACAGAGCCAATGCCCAATTGTCAGATATTCACACAATTGAAGAGTTAATCACCCAGTTGGTAACTACAGTTAGGTGAGCCAGTCAGTAAATCCTTGTCGTCATCTTGTCATCACTGTGGGTCATTGGGTCATCGCTTACTGTTTCAATGAGTATGATCCAGAGATTTCAGGCAGGTTTGGTGTGAAGACAATGGCTTGAATCATTACAGAAGTCCACTGTGCGTGTAGTCACCTTTATTTTTGTTCCAGGACACGCAGGCGTTGATGGAAGTGAAAGAGCTGATAGGTTGGCTGGATCCGCTATCACTACCGACGGTCAGCCTATGGATCATGCTAATATTATTAATGCCCTCAGAGAAATGGGAAAGATAGAGGACTTTGGGGGCAGTGAATCCACATCACTCGCCAGAATGGCAGACTTGGGAATTAAAATCGGCATAGCAAAATACGAGACACACACCAGACGATTTGTTAATCAACATAGAACTGGTACTATTAGCCATCGGACATTGGGGTTCATACTGAGGGGAGATGTGAGCACCTATGGACATGTCCAGAGTGCAATGATGATAACCCAACTAACTAACTAACTAATTACTGTTTCAATAAATGGGGCCCCAGGTATGCACACAAGGAGCAAGAAAGACATGAATATAGGCAACAGATCTAACCTACTGCAGCAGTGTAACTCTTTCTTCTTTTTCTTTGTGTTCACTGGCTGTCAACTCTGGTGGAGATCTAGCTTATTTATATGCAGGCTTCTGGTTCCTTGCCTCTCAGGCAGATGACTCTGAAGAAAAAGAAAACTTGCCTAATTAGTTGCCTTGTACGACATTCTTGTTACAGAGCTGTCAGCCTATTTCTCCCCCCCCTCCCCACAAATGGGGCCCCGGAATCCACACTCTTTCTATCCATACCAAGCAATTCATCATGTGTTTATTAGTGAGCTCATACACCGCATACTGAAATTCTTCTCCTTTGTCTCTGACAGTTTTCTTTACAGCAAGAAACTATTCAGCAAAACTTAATCTAATAGCTGTTTGGAACTTATGTAGATGTCTGGAACAACATAGTTTATATGGATAAGTACTACAGACATGGTTAAAATAACAAGAGTCTGCTACTGAAGGCGTTAAACACCAAGGAAATAATACGTCTCAGCCAGTATTTCAACCCTGGCAGAGCAAAATCCTCTCCAAATTCTATGGCCATTTTCCTATTAGCCCCTATATCTTCACGGAGAAGGTGGGTTTGGCTTATGTGATTTGTGTGACAGTGACAGGCTACTACTTTTTGCTTTTCCTCTTTAGGAGAGCTAACTGCCTCCAACACTGCTGGCTCTGTGCCAGGTGTAAATCTATTAGTATTTTTCCTAAATACATATTAGTTATTGAGTTTCCCATATGGGTACTGGGGCCACACTATAAGGTTTGAAAAAAACAATAAAGATCAACTAAGATCAATCTAACAAGCAAGTCAACTATTTAGGGATACTTTCTTTAAAGTCAGAATGCATCTGCTTCAAGGTAAGGAACCAACAGTATGTATACAAATAAGCCAAATCTGTAGAACAGATTGCATGCAAAACACAAGTTCTGGAACAATACAAAAGTCCAGAAGTGAAAAAAAAAAATCAAAACCTTCCATCAGAGGTTACAGCTGGTGAATACAGAGAAGAAAGTTACTGATCTTCACTGTGAGATTTACTGCCTCATCCTATAGCCAACCTTTAACTGCAAAATCTAACCAGTTGTTTACAAAACACAAAAGATTTGGCATAAAACGAACTGGTTGAGAATCACAACAGAGATGTGGAGGTTATTGGTTGGAGGGAAAGGGGGAGGGAGGGAGGGGGAGGGGGTGATAGGGAGAAATAACAGAGACAGAACGGAAAGAAAATGGAGGGGGGGGGGAGGAAACAGGGCTTCACAGAAGAGAGAAAATAAAGTGGGAGGGAGGAAAGGGAAGAGAATAGAGAAGGGAAGACAAGAAGACAGAGACTATAACCTAACAACATTTAACAAATATATTGTAACAACTGAAACAATAATTTTCTATGATTATGTTTAGTTTTGGTGGAAACATGCTATTCAATGTTGGCCCTACTGCCTATGGTGAAATTGCTCCAGTTTATGAGGAAAGACTGCGCCAGATTGGATCCTGGTTGAATGTTAATGGAGAGGCCATATACAAAACACATGTATGGACATATCAGAATGATTCTGTAGCTGACAATGTTTGGTATGTATTCATTTTTCTTATTGAAGTAATTAGGTATAATTTTTTTAAATTAAGTTTTTATTTATTAACTTATCTGTAAGAAAGACACAAATATAGGCAACAGATCTGACCCAGTCAGATTCACTTTATCGTGTGTTCATTAATTAACCCATTCATCACTTACTAATCTTTTCTGCCTCAACAAATTTTCTTTACAATAAGAAATAGTTGTGAAAACCCTGTCACCCAGGTAACATTAAAAAATTAGGTCATGACTCTGTAGGAAAGCCAGAAAAATCATTTAAAAAAAATTTGATACAGGTCACGAATACAAATTTTTTTTAAATATGTGTTTGCCTTCATTTGTTTTCCTCAAAATATATACAGGAGTATAGAGTTATCAATAGAAATGGAAAGAGTGAAGAACTACCATATTTTCCTTAGTATAAGACACTTATTTTCAACAAAATATAGGGTCTTAAAATGGTGTGCTTTTTATACAATGAAAGATTTTTACGAAATGATTTGTTAGAAAATATCCTTTACAGGGCCTCTTTGGGAATGCCCCTGCAGGGGAAATATAAAATTAAAAACAAAATTACCAGCTATAGGAAAAGAACTGAGATCATCAAGTCATTCAAAAATTGTGGCATTGCTTGACGATGATGGTGGAAGGTTCTATCACCACTTATTACTGGCATCATGGGGGCTAATACTAAAACAGTTTGGACAGAATGGTAGATTGTAAAGAGACAAAAACTGTTTAACCAAAACAGATGAATGGTAGCTGACTCTGTGGCATATATATATATATATATATATATATATATATATATATATATATTATATATATATATATATATATATATATATATATGGGAAATATATAAAACTATAGAATATATATATTTGCCCCTTGGCATCTATGTGGGAAATATATAAAACTATAGTGGGTAAGGAGGTCTACTGTAGTAAAAGTCTAACATGCAAAAGAAACAATGTATTTATTCTGTGTAGGTAATTGAAATGCCAGGTCTGCAGGCTGCCTACTGCTGGCTTCTAAAGACATAGCCTGTGATGAATGAGATGTCCAATATACGGAAGTGATGTTAAACAATCATGAGTAGGATGTGACGGTTATTTGGGTGAGCCCAATATCAGAGCATGATGTATTGGCTCTGCATTCATGGAAGCTTCCTTGGATGCCAGGGAATGCTCATGTTCTGTCACTGCCTTCTCTTGAGGGCTGATCAGCATTACGTGGCTTTTTTTTTTTTTGACCAGCCTAATGTGGACGCACCACCTGTGACCTGGGAAACAGATAACCACACAGTTATGAGGCTGCAATGTCCCCCAAAACTAACCTGGGCAGGCTAACGGGCACAGTTGGTGTTTGTTGGTCTGCCCCTATATTATCTTCTCATCATCTTTTTGGTCTGCCACAGAGTCAGCTACCATTCATCTGTTTTGGTTAAACAGTTTTTGTCTCTTTACAATCTACCATTCTGTCCAAACTGTTTTAGTATTAGCCCCCATGATGCCAGTAATAAGTGGTGATAGAACCTTCCACCATCATCGTCAAGCACCTTGCCAAACTGGTGTGGGCGATCATACCTCTCCACAACCTGCAATCTTCAACAGTATGTAGTATCAGTTCGTGTACTGACACCCCTACATGCCATGAGAAAAGGCTGTCTAAAATTGTTTTGCATTGTCCTTCTCCACAGATCAATAGTCACAAAATGTTCCAGTTTCTTTCTTCTCATAACATGGCCAGAAATGATAACTCTTTCTGATATTTGTAATAAGTTGTCTTCAAGCCCTCACCTCTTTTCAAACATCTGGGGCCTCTTTTGACTGACTTTCTACCCCACCAGGACACCACACAAGCGACAAACACCCGATGACACAAAGTGCTACCATGCGGATGAGGATCGCCGTGGAGAGGTCCCAGAAACCGCGCCCAGACAATTGGCCATATTGACGGCCTGCCCACATTGTGGCCCCTGGCAAAAGCCAGAGTGGGGCTTCAAGTAAAAAATTACGTCCTAAGAAGGACGTAAGGAATATAAAAGCGAGTAGGGGCCTCTTTTTAGCTGTCTAAGAAATTATAAGGATTCTACGGTCAAACCATATTTCTGAGGCCTTAAGAAATTGTTTGGCTTGTTTTTTTAATTGTCCAGATTCACAGCCATATGTTAAAACTGGCTCTATGTAGCATGCCAAAAAAAAAAAATTGAACTTTTACTTTTGTTGTTGTTTCAATATTTAAAAAAAACCTGTGGCAAATAAGTTAACATTCTGAATTTGTGTCTTTTAAGGTACACAGCACGAACCAACGGCTCCACAACAGTTTATGCAATTCTACTGTCTTGGCCTGAGGTTGGAAACCTGACACTTGGGCATCCTGTAGCCTCACGATCAACAGTCGTCTCTCTGGTTGGATACCCTGGACAGTTTAAGTTCTTCTCGCCAAGTTCAGGTGGAATCACAATCAACATTCCACCAATCCCAGCTGGGCAGATCCCATGTGACTGGGCTTGGGTTTTCCGACTGGAAGGTCTTCAGAATCAGAATACCAAGTTAGATAGCTTTGCATTTTCCAAGAAATTGAAAGCTTTGCAAATGAGAAAAGAATTTCCTAAGTTTCAATAACTCACAGTTGCTGTACTTGAATTATCTGAGAAGTTTTATTGTTTGTTTTGTTTTGTTTTCCTGTGAAAGTCTTTTGACTTTTGAGGAGTAAATTGTGTCTATATTCTTATTGGTCAGCATGACTGTAAGACAGAACTAATTTTAGCACAAATTAGAGAATCCTTTTCCATGTCATTAGGCTTACTGGGCATATAGGGCTAGACCTATTTTTGGTTAAAAGACCACTCAGTTCTAGGTGGGTGATGTGGTCATCATCATGCTAGCTACCTATACTTTCCAGGACTTTACTTATTTAGGCCAGGTTGGCCTGAGAGCCAAGGTCAATTTTGAAAAAAATCGAGTCTTAAGTTGATTTGAACCTGCAACTTTGAGACCCCCTAGGCGAGCATCTAGCTGCTACACCACATTGTCTCTCAGTTTTAGCATAATGGTTGTTGTGATATAATGGACAATCAGCGTCAAAATAGTAAAAGGTCTTTCTCTGTGTATTGGGTATAAGGTACCAGCCTCGTATTTTTGATAGGCCAGTTGGCACTTTGATTGGTTGGGGATGTAGCCAGTATCAGATCAACTGCCTTTACTTCTCCATGTGACATGGAAGTAAATCATGGCGATGCACGTCTACGCCACCTCTGAGGCCAAGATAGGAGACATTATAACCAGCTCTTCTTGGGAAAAATTAATAGAGATAACTTGGAGTGGCTCCTGCATTGGATGACTGAGCATGTGTGGGAATGCCTAATGTGCAGTTATATTGATTGTAATAACATAACTTCTCCAATCATTTCCTGGTATCCATTTTAGATTGGGTTGACCTGGGATACTATTTAAGTGTAAAAATATCCCATACAAGTAAGAACATTTTAAAAATCTTAAGAAATGTTGAAACAAATGTGGACAAGCAAAGTTATTAATCTTAATATTTAGACAAAATGACAAAGATGTAGATTTCCCACAGACATCAAGAGGAAACAGTTAACATACTTGGGCCACATTTTGATAAAAAGCTAGCACATTTTTAGATAGATTTCAAACCAAACCAAAAGTAGAACCAGTCAGCTTCACAGTATCACAAACAAAAAGAGAGCCTTCATCAGCACAGTAAAACACGCAACAAGAATACGCAGTCACTTAATTGGCGTGTCTCTAACAAAATCACATATCTGTATCACTGACACGTGTATGACCTCTGGGAATAAATTATAGCCTGAAAAACTGTGAGCAGCAGGAGTCAGAAATATTTTTTTTCAAAACCTGTTGGAGATTAAGCCTCCTAGAAGAGACAGGAGGACTTGAAAATTAAAGAAACCAGACATTCTTGCATTATGCCAGGCAAAGATATTAGCATTTGAATTGATTAACCGTTATAGATAATAGGAGCAGTAGAGAGAGATGATTACACTTGCCAGTTGAAAAAATATTGGATGCATATATATATCAAAATCAGAAGACCAGGTTGTATGTATACTTCTGCATCTTAAAATTGTGTGCATGAAAAATACCTTTCTCTTTTCAGCTATTAAGAATGTAATGAAAGGTTAAAAACATCCATTATGATTACCTCCTTAGAACATTCTTTAAATTTTGGCTGGATGTTGAAATTTAGAATTTATACAAGAAGCCATTATCTAGACTAACTTTACAAATTATCTGTACAATTAACTATCTCAACTATACGCCCCCCCCCCCCTCCCCAGTACAATCCATATTTGACAAGTTTATACACAAACTCTTAGAATATAGTGATAGTCATACTCAATTTTTGCCAGTTGCATTAGGCTTATGAGCATTGTTGCAACCATGTTTATCTCACTTGCCATCTTGACCATTTATGTATAGTATTTGGCCTCCAGATAAAACTACTTTATGAACAAATTTATAAATTTATATAGCTAGGTCACTATTTAATATTATTGTGCCATACTATGAGTATTGATTTATGCAATATTTCCTAGTAAATTTTAAGTACATGTCTGAAAAATAAATATGATAAATATGTGCACATTAGAGGTCATATAAATCTGATTTATTGATTGCTGTATAGTTTTCTAATGATTAAATATAGTGAACATTTTATGCAGTTTATTTCTTGTGTTTGACGGATAATATCCACTGCACATCAAACTATTCAGTCCATAAATATACGGATCCCCTCACCAGAGAATTACTCAGCCTATAGTGATTGAAAACATAAGTTTTGTGTTTCTTTATTCTTTCCTGGTCCTTTGCATAAAGATCTTGTCTGACCTCCCTTTGTTTTTTTTAAATGTTCTTGAAGCTTGCTTATTTTTCCTTGGTTCCCTTGTATGAATAAAGCTCTTTTCTGAGGGTGGGGTGAGGTGCAGAAAACAGAATCTCATTGCTGTAGACACCAAGGTGAGGGGCAGGGTTAGTGCAGTTGATAGGAGACCAGCTTTCAAATCCAGCTGCAACTCGCTGCAGCCCATGGCCGGTGTTTGGAGCCGGATGGTTCCTGGGGTTCACCCAACCTCTAGGAAATGGGTACCAAAGTTGACACTCTGGGGTAAATGGAGGAAGTCGCTGTAGCTACAGAGTTGCATGTGGACGGCGATCAATTGTTCGTACTGGTGGTAGAGCACTTATGGTGTATAACCATGTGCAGTGACGCTGGTTTACCTCTCCCAACTTTACCTTTACCTTTTACCAAGATAAGCGACTGACAGATCAGCTTTCACATCCAGAAGACATAACCATCACCTACACAAATGAGTCCATAAAGTGTGGGTTAAGGTCAGTGTGGGTATGTACAGCAGAAAGGATGGAGAGTATAATAAAAGACTTCTTCTTCTCCTTATTTGTTCACCGGCTGTTATCTCCGGCAGAAAGTCCTGCTTCATTCATTTTGACTTTGACTTTTGTGTGTTCATCTGCTTGACTGGCTTCTTTGTGTGCAGCTGGTTATTCCTTGCCGCTAGGCCCCAAAAAAAAACTCCAACTTCATTTGGTTGACTCCTACAACACACTTGTTGGGTAAGCAGCGGATCTATTCCTGTTTTCCCCACAATGAGGCCCTGGAACCCACACAGCACAAAATGACAATAGTGGATCTTACCAAGCAACAATGTCAAGAATGCCCAAGGAGATAACCATCGCCTCCAGAGCACTAGCATGGACATCAGAACAATCAGATACACAGTATGGTACTCGTATCAGACACAGACACACAGTATGGTACTCGTATCAGACACACAGTATGGTACTCGTATCAGACACACAGTATGGTACTCGTATCAGACACAGTATGGTACTCGTATCAGACACACAGTATGGTACTCGTATCAGACACACAGTATGGTACTCGTATCAGACACACAGTATGGTACTCGTATCAGACACACAGTATGGTACTCGTATCAGACACACAGTATGGTACTCGTATCAGACACACAGTATGGTACTCGTATCAGACACACAGTATGGTACTCGTATCAGACACACAGTATGGTACTCGTATCAGACACAGACACACAGTATGGTACTCGTATCAGTCACACAGTATGGTACTCGTAGCAGTCACACAGTATGGTACTCGTATCAGACACACATTATGGTACTCGTATTAGTCATACAGTATGGTACTCGTATCAGTCACACAGTATGGTACTCGTAGCAGTCACACAGTATGGTACTCGTATCAGTCACACAGTATGGTACTCGTAGCAGTCACACAGTATGGTACTCGTATCAGACACACAGTATGGTACTCGTATCAGACACAGACACACAGTATGGTACTCGTATCAGACACACAGTATGGTACTCGTATCAGACACACAGTATGGTACTCGTATCAGACACACAGTATGGTACTCGTATCAGACACACAGTATGGTACTCGTATCAGACACAGACACACAGTATGGTACTCGTATCAGTCACACAGTATGGTACTCGTAGCAGTCACACAGTATGGTACTCGTATCAGACACACATTATGGTACTCGTATCAGTCATAAAGTATGGTACTCGTATCAGTCACACAGTATGGTACTCGTAGCAGTCACACAGTATGGTACTCGTATCAGTCACACAGTATGGTACTCGTAGCAGTCACACAGTATGGTACTCTTATCAGACACACAGTATGGTACTCGTATCAGTCACACAGTATGGTACTCGTATCAGAAACACAGTATGGTGCTCGTATCAGACACAGACACACAGTATGGTACTCGTATCAGACACACAGTATGGTACTCGTATCAGTCACACAGTATGGTACTCGTATCAGACACACAGTATGGTACTCGTATCAGACACACAGTATGGTGCTCGTATCAGACACAGACACACAGTATGGTACTCGTATCAGACACAGTATGGTACTCGTATCAGACACAAACACACAATATGGTACTCGTATCAGACACAGACACACAGTATGGTACTCGTCTCAGACACACAGTATGGTACTCGTATCAGACACACAGTATGGTACTCATATCAGAAACACAGTATGGTACTCGTATCAGACACACAGCATGTATGGTACTCGTATCAGACACACAGTATGGTACTCGTATCAGACACACAGTAGGGTACTTGTATCAGACACAGACACACAGTATGGTACTCGTATCAGACACACAGTATGGTACTCGTATCAGACACACAGTATGGTGCTCGTATCAGACACACAGTGTGGTACTCGTATCAGACACACAGTATGTATGGTACTTGTATCAGCCACACAGTATGGTACTCGTATCAGAGACACAGTATGGTACTTGTATCAGACACATAGTATGGTACTCGTATCAGACACACAGTATGGTACTCGTATCAGACACACAGTATGGTACTCATATCAGACACACAGTATGGTACTCTTATCAGACACACAGTATGGTACTCGTATCAGACACACAGTATGGTGCTCGTATCAGACACACAGTGTGGTACTCGTATCAGACACACAGTATGTACGGTACTCGGATCAGACACACAGTATGGTACTTGTATCAGACACACAGTATGGA